TGGTTTATGGAGATATTGACAATTGAGATATCAGTTTATACGGTATGTGTATGGAGTGGGTTATGGAGATATTGACAATTGAGACATCAGTTTATACGGTATGTGTATGGAGTGGGTTATGGAGATATTGACAATTGAGATATCAGTTTATACGGTATGTGTATGGAGTGGGTTATGGAGATATTGACAATTGAGATATCAGTTATAAGGTACGTGTATGGAGTGGTTTTTAGTGTCAAAGTATTAAAGCTGTATTATCTGAAAAACATTTGAACTTATAAAATGAGCCAGTAATTGGAATCTACAGTTACAGCATGCAAGAGTTATACATGTCAGAAATTGAACGATATATTTTTTTATGTGCAATACCTTAAATGCCAACACGCAATGCTGTTTCAAATCTAGCTTTAGGACAAGCTAAAGACAACAGGCCATTTTTGCTTAGAGTCAGTGGCAATGAATGCTATGAAATCTTGTATAACATTTAGAAAGAAAAAGACAACTTGAGAAGTGGATGTTCAAGCACGTCTCAACTTTTTTTCTTATTAGAGAGACATCAGTTTCACATGCCATTCAATTGACTTGATGTCCTATGCTGCTGAAAATGCATGGCGATGTTTGCTTACACTTTCTGACCCAGATATCATGGGAATACTGCAACTGTTGTATTTGGTATGTGGCACATACTACTTCATACACCAAATTCCACAAAATATATCTAGTAAATTCAATCACTCACTGCATATCAAAAACCTACAAGTTAATTACTGCTTTATGAATCCATTCAATGTAACTTATTTTGAATTGTCAATTTTGGTTACCTTAAGGTAGCATACACCAATGCAATTTAGCTAATTGTTCAATCTTAAAAGTACGCAGTCGTGTGAGTAGAAATATTGCAGCACAATTCTCACATTTAGCACATTTAAACAATGATTCTTTGTCACAATATTTTAATACATTTTTATACTACTTCAAACTTTATTAATCAATTTTACGGAAGTACTGCAGAGAAATTTTTTTTGTAATTTTTTGTTGTTTTTCAGATGGATTGATACGCATGTGTTATTTCATTGTGTACCTATGTGACATGAACAAAGGAAATAACAGTCGCAGTCTGATGTGAAGTGTTACACCTAACTCATAATGTAACATACCTGAGCCATGGTTTTCTTCATTAGGGGCAATCCTAAAGACCCTTTAATACACTTTGTTTGTTGTAAATCACATGTAAATCCTTGTGGACAACAATGTTGTTGATCAACACAACAAACGGCATCTGGAAATGGACAACAACCAAACAAACCACTTGCTTCTTCACAACACGTATTCCCGTCAGGGCACTTCTGCTTGCCTCCTTTACATGTGACATCATTAACACTAGAGATGACATCATTAACACTAGAGATGACATCATTAACACTAGAGATGACATC